CTGCTGAAACAGTCAGCAAAATTGACATGAGTTTGCAAATATTTCACTCAAGTGAAGCCTGCAGTGATCAGCAAAAAAAAGTTTCAGCTGAAAATGTAACCCAGCTCATTAGGAGCAAGTCACCTCGTGTGTTGTTAGGAAGGTAATTCCTGCTACATCTGCAATAAGATTTTTGTTTTTACTTCTGATCTCAGTGTCACGTGTGATTATTACTTCACAGTGATGAGTGACAGTGAGAACACTGGCTCCATTTGACCCCTGAATGCACCCAAAGGCACAATAATTAGTGCCCATGGAACTAATTTAAAAAAAAGCCACCATGGAGGGAGGGACCATTTCATATGAGCAAAGAGATCTGGACTTTAGTTTCCATGGTCTACATAAGCTCTGTAGTGTTCACTCCCATGCAACAGGCTCTGTGCTGGTGGGAGCCTCTGCATCATTTCACTGGGATTAAGAAGGAGAGTACAGATGAGAGTCCCCATTTGTCTGGAGTGGATTCTGGGTACATCTGGTGGGAACACACAGAATGGGTACCTGGTTTTCTAGGTAGAAAGTTCTAAAATGTAGCTGAGTTCACCCTAGTGCTTTGCCTGTCTCTTTCTGCCCATGTTGATCTGGGCTCTCTGTGCACTGCTGCTTTGTTTGATTCTCTGCAGGAGAAAGGAGCAGTACTGGCCCAAATCAAGAATCAGAAAGTCCAGGACATTCTGGCCTTTTACCTGGGCCGTTTGGAAACCACCAATGAGGTGACCAACACTGATTTTGAGACCCGCAACTTCTGGATTGGTGAGTACCTGGAAGCAGCTGGATGCCCCTGGTGTGCACACAATGCACTGAAGGGAAGGAGGAGCTGGTCCTAGCCTGGTGGATTTCCCAGTCTGGGTCCCTGCATGATGCTGCCAGCCCGGAAGGCACAGAGTGCTGCAGTGCCCCATTTCTAGGTTACTGCAATGCAAGCAGAGCTCTTATAGTTTCATAGTTGGTAGGGTCGGAAGGGACCTGAGCAGATCATCAAGTCCGACCCCCTGCCATGGCAGGAAAGAGCACTGGGGTCAAACGACCCCAGCAAGGTGGTCATCTAACCTCCTCTTAAAGACCCCCAAGGTAGGAGCCAGCACCACTTCGCTTGGAAGTTGGTTCAAGATCCTGGCTGCCCTGACAGTGAAGTAGTGCCTCCTGATATCTAGTCTAAATCTACCTTCTGTCAGCTTGTGTCCGTTATTCCTTGTCACTCCTGGTAGTGCTCGGGGGAACAGGGACTCCCCCAATGCCTGCTGGTCCCCACTGACTAGTTTGTAACAGCCCACTAGATCCCCCCTCAGCCTTCTCTTGTGGAGGCTGAACAGGTTCAGATCCCTTAGCCTCTCCTCGCAGGGCCTGCCCTGCTGCCCCCGATCATGCGAGTGGCCCTCCTCTGGCCCAGTTGTCCACATCCCTCCTGAAGTGCATCCCTCCTGTGGCATGCTGCATGGGGGTTCTTCACCACTTGCTAATTAAGGCACTGCCTGGCTTCCCCTTGTCCCTCTGGTTGCTTTTCTGATGATCTTTAGCTCTTCCACAAAGCATTTTAAGTTCTTACCCCCTGGCTTCAAGGGTGTGGAAGGGACCAGTGTTTTATCATTGAGGCCACTAAGGTACAGAGGTGACTTGTTTTGCTAGGGGTTGCCCAGGGAGCTGGTGGTAGACTTTGGATCCTATTGACATCTGGCCCAAGAACAATTCGGCCTCCATGCTAATGAGCCTGGGGAAAGTGATGGGTTGGTGTAGCAAGTTTGGGTTTTAGGGTGGCTGTGACACCTCCTGGTGGCCCTGCAACCTTTGCCCTGCTCCAGCTGTAGAGTACTCTCCCCCTCTCACTTGTCTGCTATGGCTTGATGTAATTATCTAATTGAAACCAACCTGCTTAATGGGTACTTCGCATCAGCTTTTCATCAGCCCAAAGGAACTGTCCTGCTTAGCATGATGCAGGATGGCCAGGGTGAGGATGAATTTATACCCAGCTTCAGTGTAGATCTTGTAAAGGAACACGTTGAGAGGCTGGACACCTTCAAGTCAGCTGGCCCTGACAGATTACACCCCAGAGTACTTAAGGAGCTGGCAGGTGTCATAGCCCAACCATTGGCAAAAATATTTGAAAACTCGTAGCACTCAGGTGAAGTACCTGAAGATTGAAAGAAGATCAATGTGGTGCTCATCTTTAAGAAAGGGAAGAAAATAGATCTGGGGAACTACAGGCCAACCAGCTTGACCTCAATCCCTGGTAAGATTCTGGAAAAAATGATCAGAGACCATTCTTGACAAGCTGGCTGATGGCAACATCCTGAGGGACAGCCAGCACGGGTTTGCCGTGGGTAGGTCTTGCCTGCCCAATCTCATCTCCTTCTGTGACCAGGTGACATATCACCTGGACAAGGGAGAAGTGATTGACATCATATATCAGGACTTTAAAAAAGCCTTTGATCTGGTGTCCCATGATCTCCTCATGGAAAAATTGGCCAACTGTGGCCTTGGCTACATCACAGTCTGATGGCTGGGGAATTGGCTCCGAGATCAGACCCAGAGAGTAGCAGTCGACGGAAGTGAATCATCATGGTGCTCCATGACTAGTGGTGTCCCCTAAGACTCCGTCCTTGGACTGGTTCTCTTTAACATCTTTATCAACAATGTGGACACTGGTGTTAGAAGTGGACTGGCCAAGTTCACCAATGACACTAAACTTTGGGGTAGAGCATCCACATCTGGAAGTGGGGCAGAAAGGGGGCAGATATAAACCTGATGATGTTCAATACCGAAAAATGCAAGGTACTCCACCTCGGGGGGAAAAAACGCACAGCACACTTAAAGGCTCAGCAGTGCTACACTTGCTAGCACCATGGTTGAAAGATTGACCACAAGATGAACATGAGCCACCAATACAATATCACAGCTGGTAAAGTGAACAAAACTCTGGCTTGTATCCATAGATGCTTCTCAAGTAAATCTCAGGATGTCATTCTCCTGCTGTACATGGCCTTGGTGAGGCTGCAGCTGGAGTACTGCATCCAATTCGGGGCGCCACAATTCAAGGATGTGCAGAAGCTTGAGAGAGTCCATAGGAGAGCCACATGCATGATCAGAGGGCAAGAGAATAGGCCTTATGAAGAGAGGCTGAGAGCAATAGGACCCCTTCAGCCTGGAAAAGTGCAGGCTCAGGGGTGACCTGGTGGCTGCCTACAAGTACATCAGGGGTGTGCATCAGGATCTGGGTGAACACCTGTTCACCAGAGCATCCCAAGGGACAACAAGGACCAATGGTCACAAACTCCTCCAAGACCATTTTAGGCTGGACATAAGGAAAAACTTCTTTATTGTCTGAACCCCCCCACCCCAAGGCCTGGAATATAGACTCTCTCCAAAGGTGGTGCAAGCACCTACTCTGGACTCTTTTAAGAAGCGTTTGGATGCTCATCTTGCTAGGATCCTTTGACCCCAGCTGACTTCCTGCCCTTGGGGTGGGGGGCTGGACTTGATGATCTTTTGAGGCCCCTTCCAGCCCCAAAGCCTATTAAATCTATGAAAAGGAGGCTGCCTAATCAGTCGTAGAGCAAACCCCAGTTCCTCTAGCTGCCAACAGGTCCCTTCCAGGTCTTGCTAGTTGTGCTCTCACAGCCCGTCTGTATCTCCCACCCCCGGACACCTGTAGCCTTAGGTCTGTTTATGGCCTCCAACCTCTCCTACAGCTAGGCCCATGCCTCACAGATGTTACTAGTTAATGATTTTAAGGGGCAGTTGACCCAAGCCAATATTAGGCCACTTTAGGCCTTGTTGGGGGCTCAGCTTCTTGGCCTCTGCCGCTTTGCTCTCGCTGGTTCCCTTAGTCTAGGCCACTGCCTGACCTGGCTTCCGGGTTCCAGCCCTGGGCTCCCTCTCACACGGTCCCGCTTGAGCGGTCTGGCTTACACCTATGTTGGGTTTCAGCTCCTCTCCAGTCTACAACCCCCTGGCTTGAGCCTGAAAACACTGGGTTACACACTCTTCAGGTGCCCCCCTGTGGTCTCCTCACATGCCCCTACAGTCACATCCAGACCACTGGTTTAAAATTTAAATGAACACATAAGCCCACAGGCTATAACAACACTCTAAGCCTACCAGCTCTCTAATGAAACCATCCTCATCCTGGCTCATAGCTCACTGCAAGGTGCAGTCCCAAGGTGCAGCAGGAGCTCAAGCATTAAGTTCAGCCACAGGCCTCTCTCGGCAGCCCTCTGTGGCTTGCAGCACCAGACTGACTGTCTTGCCTGGCGCAGGATTTATATGCCTCACAAGCCCTGCCCCCTTCCAGTCAGGTGGCTTGCTAGCCTTGGCACAGCTGCCTCTTTGGATCTAATGGGCTGCTTTACTGTTGCTACCCTGGTTGCCATAGTAGTGCCTTTATTGCTCAGGCAGGGTTTTTCCCTATTGTCCTACTGCTGAGCTGCTAGTCCTGCAATAGGCATTTTTATTCTATGGCCCCATGGCTGCCTAGTACTCCCCTGCAGCCAGTCTATAACATGCAGCCTCTCCCTCACATGGGGATATCTCTATTGCTGCTTCTGCCTTCAAGTAACAGGAGCCTCTGGCTCTCTGTTAGAGTTGGCTTCTAGGAGGACTGTGGATAAACTGTGATGGATCACATGGGTATGGACGGTTCAGACTGCTAGCTACAGCCCCACATTCAGACCAGGAGTGGGGCTCATGTGGGAGGCTGCAGAACTCCATGCAGCTTCAGCCGGCTTTACTCCTGGAATGACCGGGTGGGCTGTATCCAAACTGAAGTCAGAGCTCAGGGTGGAGAGAAGTGAGGTCAGTACCCAGGCAGTGTCCCACTGCCACAGAGACTACAGGATATTGCCAGGAGCCAGGAGGCCACTCCCATGAGCAAGCATGTGTTTGTAGTAAAAATCACAGCGTGTCCATGTGTGGGCTCTCAGCACTGACAAGTTCAGTGAGTGTCAAATAGTGACAGCCCCTGGTGGGAACAGCCCTGGAGCCCTCTGCAGTCACAGCTGTGTTGGATGTCCTGAAGGAGAATTGTGCCAGAAGTGGGGTTAGACTCACAGCTTGCAGCTCTGATTCCAGCCAGCAGAAGCACATGTCTACAGGGGCTTGTGACACCACTGGCACTGTGGTTGCTGTGCTGCTGGTACTGGTGACATGTCTCGACAGGCCTGATGCCATGGCGGAGTGCAGATGCCCCATGTGCTAAAGCTCTGTCATTGCTCCACTTTCATTTAGGTCTGACGTATAAAACATCCAAGGACTCATTCCGCTGGGACACTGGAGGGCAGTATTCCTTCACCAGCTTTGCTTTTGGGCAGCCGGACAACCAGGGGTGAGTGTCTGTGCAGGGCTCCTCAGACAGCCTACCATAAGATGCCTCTCCAGGTCAGTCCCCAGGGACAATAGTGCCGGGTTCTTGCTAGGCCACCTCCAGCTCTGGGCTTCCAAGCACAGACTTGTGCCCCCCACAACTTCCTGTGGCAGCCCTGCCCCATGCTCTGAAACTTGCCTGCTACATCTCCCCATCTTCCCCTACTGCCTTCCGTCCATGGAGTTCTTCTCCACCCTGTTCCACATCTCAGGTTTGGGAACTGTGTTGAGCTCCAGGCATCAGCTGCCTTCAACTGGAATGACCAGCGCTGCAAGACCCGAAACCGGTACATCTGCCAGTTTGGTGAGTGGTTTGTTCTGCCCTGCTCTCTCAGCTGTGCTGGGCATGCCCTGTCCCCACTTCTATTAGGGGAGGACTGCTTGTGGTGTTCATCTGCCCCTGCATAGCACTGACCGGTGTGGGTGTGGGGCCCGGAGGTGCTGTACAAGCTAACAGGTACTGTACAACCATATCCCCTGCTGTGGCTGCAGTGGGGTGTTGCTAATGCCCCCCGGTGCCAACCCACTGCTCTTCTGCTATTCCAGTGCCGATCTATCTAGAAATACAGCTTTGCTGAAGTCCTGCACCCCAACTGGAAACCTGCTGCTGTCCCAGCTCTTAGCTCCAACTTCTCCTGCCTCCAGCTCTGCTGATGGCCTGCAGTCCCATCCCATACTTCTTTGCTTCTCTTCTGGGCTCTTTGCACACGGTTCTGGCAATTCTCTTCATGCCACCCCTCTACTATTCCAGCCCTGGCTTCCTGCCACTCTGCCAGTGCCCTCAGTCCTTACCTGCAGACCCCCTGTGAGTCCAGATCTGGTTCTGCCTTATGTGTAACCTACCTTAGACGGTTGTGTTATCAGGCTCAGCAGAGCAGGAGTAGTCCCTTACCCCAGATGGCTGCAACCTGGCAGAGGGTGAGGCGCTATGACTGGGTTGGGGGGGAACAATGTGTGCTGCTGCCTATTCTGGGCCAGTCTGTGGGTTAGCAGAGGCCCTGGGTTAGTGTCTGCTGTCTCTTACCAGCAATGAATTAACTAACAATGGTTAAAAAACTCTTTTGGATCAGATCTGTGAACTGAAAACTGGTCCCGGCAGCCCAGGTCTCAGACTGGCTCCAAGGGGTCTAGCATGGTAGCATACAGCCCAGCCCTACGTGCTCTTGCTGTCCTCTTCATCCTCCTCTGCTCCCTATTTCTACCCTGTCTAATGACCTGTTACCCTGTTAGCAAAGTGTTCCATTCATTGGGGCATCCTTTGGTGGCTAGACAAGATAGAGGATAACTGCTTTCCACCACTGCAGGCCTATGGCCTCCTCCCCTTTGATGAAAAGGGGATGAGAGTTCAGGGCTCAAACTAACTGACTGGCTACAGTGTGTGGTGATCTGGGCAGGTTGGTTACCTGGCAGTGGGCTATAGCGTCTGCCCCCTGGCTCCCCAGCCCAGGGCGGGTTGGGCATTGCTAACACTGGTGTCTGTATTTGCAGCTCAGGAACACATCTCCCTGTGGCAGCCAGAGCCCTGAGAACATGCCGCTTCCTATCACCTCCCTGCTCCAGATCACGGTGCTAGCTGCTGAGTAATGGCTGCAATGTCACCCTCATACTGCACACAGCTTGAGAGACAGGACCTCCATCTCTGCTGCTCCCCTGATGGCTCCTCCCAGGACTTCAGGGCTCACTCAGAGGCAACTGGGTGCTTTGGTCAGTGCCAGCCATGCTGACTTCTGAGTGTGTCGGCTGAGGGCCATGGGGTAGATGTGGCACCAGGACCTGCTGAGTGCTCAGGGGAGGGCAGGGGAAGGAGGGGAGAGGGCACATCCTGTACTGACATTCCAAACCATAGAGTAGCACAAAGAGGGAATGGAGTGTTAAAGGTGCAAGGGGGCAATTGGTCCTTACCCCAGTAGAGCTGTGGGTGTCTCAGGGTTCCACCTGCTGGGCCAGGGTGAGGTTGTGTCTCTGGAGCTTTGGCCAATCCCAAGCAATGACATGTCTCTCACCATCCCGGGAAGACCTCTGCACAGCCCAGTGAGGCCCAGGCTAGCTATGGCTTTTCCTTAGGAGAAGAGTTGTCCCCTACAGCACCTTCTAGGCCCCTCCACCTTCACTCTGGTCTGAGGGGGACTCAAAGGCATTGAAAAGCAGTGGAGCTATTTGAAAGGGCAAAAGGAGACCCCTTTCTGCTGTTCTGAGGCAGGTGGTAGCCAGCTCAGCACAGGTTTATCACACACCATGTGTTGACTCCCTCTGGCATCACCCCAGACCACATGAACTAGCCCAGAGGTGCCCAGGGGTAGAGGGGGTCATTCTGTGGCAAAGGGACACAGACCTGGCTTAAATTAGTCGGATGAGGGAGCTAGAGAGGTACTAGAGAGAGGAGGGAGCTCTGAGGTGCTGACCAGAAGGGGAAGGTGCTGGAGGGTATACATTCATTGCCTCCTCTGCCCCCACCCCCATTTCCACCTGGAGAGGAGCTGAGGTGAGAGAGTTGTGCCCCTGCCATGTGGGGGCAGGGGGGGGAAGAAGACATCCTGAGCAGGGAGGGGTCAGGCCCATGTGTCCAGGCCCTGAACAATCCCCCTTGCTCCTCTAGAAGGGACTCTACTCAGCAGAGACCCTCCCCTCTGAGGGCTGGGGTTGAGTTCTGGCAATAAGATTACAGCTGCCTGTTGTTGACTGGGGTCAGTACTCCTGGTTATGTCCTGGGACCATCTCCAGTTGCTCTTGCTTCCTTTGGGATGGTGACCCCATTCTCCTGGCATTCAGCACGGAAGTGCTATAGGGTCTCGCCCTGTTAAACTTCTGCCCCAGATCCCCAGGCAGAACGTTTCCTGTTGCAGCCCTGAGGCAAAAGACATGCCAGCTTGGTGGCCTCTGCATTGGAATGGTGCACACTAGGCTGTTAGGCTTCCTGGATCCCTGGGTTTTTGGCTGTGGATGTAGGAATTGAGGGGTAGGAGGGGGAAGGGAGGGGCATGACAGGAGTATTGCCAGGCATTGGGAATTGCAGGCAAGGAGCATCTTTGGAGCTGGTGCTTCATAGACATGAGAGTCCTTCAGGTGCCCTCCAGGCAGGGCCTGCACTGTGACCTCTAGGGCCTGCAATCCCATGGCCTTTCCACTGTGCAATAGTCAAGCTGCTTCCATATATGTCTGTCTAGCTCCAGTACTAACCAGATGATCTCAGGGGGCAGGGACTCCCAGCTTTCTAGCAGGGCTGACTTAGAAAACTAGGCTTTTTTCTCCTGCAGGCCTGTTCTCATGCCCTGAGTCCTAGGGTGTTTACACTGGTGCTGGGACATTTATCTGGCTGACATTAACACCTCACCCTCTGTAAGAGCCTTGGATGTTTTAATAAAGATTTATTTCTGTCTTGGAAGGTGCCTCTGGAGTTCTCTTGGAGTATGGCTGCCCCTGGGACACAAGCTCCTTCAGGAGTGAGTAAAAGGAGGACACAAATAGGTCTAGGTCTTACCCTGTTCCTCAGGCCCTTTCCCCTGCCTGCTCCTTAATCCACCCATTGTGCTCAGCAGAGACCAGCCCTGCCCCAGCAGGTTCACAAGCACAGTATTTAAAGCAGCTGTGCTTGCTAATGCCTATTGCAGTCCACTTCCTAGCAAATATTTTGGAGGAAGGACTTTTGTTAAATATTCATCTTCACTAAATGCACTTCCCTGGAAGCATCCAGGAGCCTGCTAACACAGCTGGGTGTACTATTTTGAGTGTAGAGAAAGAAGCAAGATTTTGAAACTGAAAAGCCACTAGTGCTTCTGTCAGGCCATCTTCCACCCTAAAGAAACCTAGGTTTTAAGCACTCCTGCAGGCCCTTTGAGGGAGCTAATTGCGTCACCACACTGGACAAATCAAATCTCATCCCATGTCATTGCCTGAGTGACACTGTTCTGCTGTAAGGATGCTGTTCTGGGTGGCAGCATCTAGTAAGGGCAGTGCTGGGATCCAGGTACCTGCTGTACTTGGGAGTCAGGACAGTTCTTGGGTGTTCTGTCATCCCCAGGACACTTTTCAGCTCACTGCATCCAGGTAAGCATCAGCTCTACTGCTTATGCCCACCTGCACTGAGGCGATCCTCCTGAACCTATCAACCCTGAATCCTGACATCTTGAGCATTACAGTGTGGAAAGTGCCGCACAAAGGATGGCCAATCCAAGCTCTGTAATTTCCATGGAAACTACTTGCAGTTTTGTAGATAAAAGGAACTGAGCTCCAGCTGAGGAACATAAAGTGGGAGCAGATGGGCCCCTGAAAGGATGGTGATTCTCTTGCCCTAAAGTAGGGGTAGGCAACATTTTTTGGCCAAAAAACCTACAATGTCTACCTTGGAAGGTGCCAGAGTGCCAACATGCCAGAGCCCAGAGCAGCTGTTTGCAGCCTTCTGGTTGCAGCCGGCCCATAGAGCCCGGTCTGCTTGCAGCAGGGCTTGCAGCCTCCCAGCCACCCGCTGGGAGCAGCCTGGGCTCTGACTAGCAGCAGCTGCTTAGAGCCTGGGCTGGCAGTGGTGTGCTGACCAAAATGACCTTGCGTGCCATGCTGACCCCTGCCCTAAAGGAAAGAGTCAGGAAAGGAACTGTCCGCAAGCAGAATAGCTACTAAAGAGAGTGATGTTCTGTACACTTCTCGCCACTAAAGGAGCTCCTAAGGGCAGTGCTAGGGCCAGCCAGTGACAGAGGAGTTGGTACTGTTGTTGCCCAATCATTAAGTAGAGCATGGTTGGTTTAGGAGCTGTGAATCTGGCATCTCTGCCTAGCCAGAAATCCTCCCCTTTATCCTGTTTAAATGTTGTTTTTCTCCTAAGGCATCAGGCTGTACTGAATACTGTGCCCAGCACTGGGCATGGTTTTACTACCGCCTTCTGCAGAAAATTGACCCTGAGTGAGCAAACGGGAACAGCAAACAGGGCAAGGAGTTTCCAAACAGTTTGCAAGTCAGTTCACAGGTCAATTTGTGTCCCGTGTCCCCCACAAGGGCAGGGGAAGCACCATTTATCTGGGTCCATGAAAGCAGTTTTCCTTAACCATTTCTGGGGATAACTGTTCTTCTGGCATGGTTTAGTATCCACTGATGTGTTGGGGCTTAATGCCTATTTTAAGGAAATAGGAGGCTCCTCCCTAGCTTGCTCCTGCAGCCATATGGCTGAGGGCAGGCAGAACTCGGGGGCATCTGAACCCCAAGCCTCCAGGCTTGGGCCTGCATGTAGGATGCCTGCCAAAAGACATTGGAAATATATGAAGCCCCTGGTGGGGGTGGAGGATGTTTGCCGGTGGTAGGGCCATTTATAGTTCTGGACTGACTCATGGATTTGGACTTGATTCGGCTGGGAACACGGAAAATTTCTTTTAAAAAAGTGGGGGTGGGAGCCTGTAAAGTAAGCTCTTTCTTAATTAAGAGTAGCTAACCTATGCATATTTAATGTAAATAGCAAATCCGTGATCTGGAAGATGGGATGGAGTGCACCCTCAGCAAGTTTGCTGAATATACCAAGCTGGGGGGAGTAGTAGATATGCTGGAGGGTAGGGCTTGGATTCAGAGAAACCTAGACAAATTGGAGGATTAGGCCAAAAGAAATCTCATGAGATTCAATAAGGACAAGTGCAAAGTCCTGCACTTAGGACAGAGCAATCCCATGTGCCGGTACATGCTGGGGACTGACTGGCTGGGCAGTAGCTCTGCAGAAAAGGAACTGGGGGTTACAGTGGACAGTAAGATGAATAGGAGCCAACAGTGTATCCTTGTTACAAAGAAGACTGATGGCATACTAGTCTGTATTAGCAGGAGTGTTGCCAGCAGATTGAGGGAAGTGATTCTTCCCCTCTATTCAGCACTGGTAAAGACACATCTGGAGTACTGTGTCCAGTTTTGGGCCCCCCACTACAAAAAGGATGTGGACAAATTGGAGAGAATCTAGTGGAAGGCAACAAAAATGGTTTAGGGGCTGGGGCACATGATTTCTGAGGAGAGGCTGAGGGAACTGGGCTTGTTTAGTTTGGAGAAGAGAAGACTGAGGGGGGATTTGAAGCAGCCTTCAGCTACCTAAAGGATGGTTCCAAAAAGGATGAAGCAGGCTGTTCTCAGTGGTGACAGATGACAGAACAAGGAGCAATGGTTTCAAGTTGCAGCCAGGGAAGTTTAGGTTAGATATTAGGAAACATTTTCTCACCATGGCTAGGGACCTGCACATAAACTGGTTTAAATGATCAGAAACTGATTTAAACCTGTAACAGAGCAGATGTTCAGTGCACATAAAACAGTTTGAAAATGGCTGAAACTGGTTTGAGATAAACCTGGTTGAATGTAGTATCAGACTTAGCTGATTTGGCTCAAACTGGTTTATGCAATGTCTGTCCCAGACCCCTTGCTGGTTTAAGATAAACCAGACACCCCCAACATCCCAGCTGGCATCCCTTCTGGGAAGGGCAGGGCTCTCTGCTCTACAGCAGGGTTGGCCCCTCCCCTCTGCTCCCTGCCTGTAGCTCTGACAGAGACTTGCAGGCACAGCAGAGTCTGTCTGCCCCCCGCCACCCCCCAATGCTTTCTGGACAAGCAGGGCTCCCCCTCTCCTATCCCCCATAGCATGGACCCTAGCCCCATGGACCTTAGGCATATGGTATGCTAGCTAATGCTGAGAGGTGTCTGTGTGTGAGTCTCTCCAATTTCACTGGAACAGGCAGACAGAACAGTGACTGCTTAGGGCTGTTTGGAGCTAATCAACAGGTCAGCCTGTAAGCTGTTTAGGAAGAGTTTGAAGTAATGGAGAGAGGCTATTGTTTTGCTAATGAGGTGATAAATGCTGTTATCAGCCCTTTACTGGCTTACTGCCTGTCAGTTTGCTGCAGACAGCATAAAGAAGCAGGGAGGGAGATTGAAAAGCTCCCTATCATCAACAGATGCATGCAATGCACACACCCCGTTGCCTCAGAGTGCTAGCAGGGATCTGGAGTCTAGCAACACCCACCTCTTGAGCAGCGAGTGGGGAAAAGCCTAGGATGGTGCAGGCAGACCTCCCTAATCAAAGCGTCCTGCCCGGACCTGGCCATGCCCCGCTCCCCGGCAAGCTCAGCTCTGTCCAAGGCAGGGAGGGCTGCTCTACTGCCCCCTGGCTTCTAGCCTGAGCTACTGCAGGCATGTGCCTGCATGTTTGGCACTTCTGCGCAGTTACAAAGTGATATAGCCTAGCCAGGTTAAACTAACCAGCAAAAATTGAATCAATTCAGGCTCAGGCTTTTTGAATGTTTGTCCCTAGCCCATGAGGGTAGTAAAGCACTGGAACAGTTTACCCAGAAAGGTTGTGGAATCTTCATCCTTGGAGGTTTTTTAAGACGCAGCTAGACAAAACTTTGGGTGGGATGATATAGTTGGGGACTGTCCTGCTTTGAGCAGGAGGTTGGACTAGATGACCTCCTGAGGTCTCTTCCAACCCCAATTTTCTATGATTCTATGATATGTAATCTGACCTAACTGCCTTTCACTCCTGTTTGACCTGCATGGGATCCTGAGCCAGCTCACAGTAAGATGATGGAAGATTTTCCTGATGGCCTCTGGGAGGGAAAAGCTGGAGTCTGTTCCATTTTGTGCATCATTGACCAAATTGTTCAATGCATTTCAGTCAGTGCATCTCTGCAAAGCCATTGATAGGAATGAGGTGGCATATGTTATGGAGGGTACAAATAAAGGTTGGGGTGGCAGTGACTGCAGGTGTTACTGAAGGCCAAATCTGCCCTGCAGAACTGTCTGATTCTCAAGGAAAGATTCCCAGCTTGCTTTCCCAATATCAGGCTGCATTTACCAATCAGGCACCTATAAGTATTATTGCTCACCTTTGATGAATGGGAGCTCATATCATGGGCAGCTTCCCATTGGAGGAGAAATCAGAGACATGGAGTCCGGGAATTTTTCTTGTATGACTTCTAATTATAGTCATTGGTCCTGGAGTGGAGATGGTCATACACAGATGGAGAAGTCTCACTCAGACATCACTGCCTTGTTGCTGGGATCCAATGTTGACCCAAAAATTGACTCCACTTTGCAAGATTGAGAGAAATTAAACTCCAGCTGTTTGCAATGGTTCCACCGAGCTGTACCACACTGCACAGCTAACAGTAACATGGCATTTTTTTCAAACACTGTATACTGCAGGTTCCTTGTAAGACTCTGTAACAGCACTATGGGGTCATTCCAACCATAACTATATGGTTATAACCTGAGCCAGTTTGATCTAGAGCAGTGGTGCTCAACATTTGGCCTGAGAAGCCTGTGTCAACAGCCATCACTGGCATGAACTCACTGGCATGTCACTGTGGCTCCTGTTGGAGTTCAACATGCACAGTGAGCTCTCTGAGCTCACCAGTTGTTGGTGTG